CTGTTTTGCATCACATGAGCGAGAGGCAAACAGTTTGAATAACTGCAGTGTTAGATGCTGCTTTCCTCTTCCTTACCTATTGTAGGGATAGATTAAAAATATGGATTGGAGGGAGCATATAGATCTCTTCCTACAGCATAAATCCTGTTCCATATTCATGGTTTAATTAAATTGCAGGGAGATGCTGAAGTTGATTTAGATATCAAGAGATCTACCCTGACCACAGGCCTGAAGAGGACGGTGGAATATAGGAGTTTCTGTTGCCAGCAGCTGCAGTAGGATATAGTCCTCAGCAGTGCACAAACATCTCTAGGTGTTTTTTTTTTTCTTCCATCAAAAAGTTCCCTTTTGTTTTTCCCCTCATTTTGTTGCCCTTGAGTTTTCCAAGAAATGCCATTTACTCTTTCCTCCATTGAATTTGCATATGCTTTCAAATTTTTTGGACAAGTTTAAAAATCCTAACATGAAAAATAAAACCCAACAAAACAAAAATCTTGATCATTCAAAAATGTCATTAAGGAGCTGTGAGTTGCTATGTCCAGTATTTTGGGAGGTGGCTTGCACTTCAGGATGGGAGTGGTTTGCTTCTTTTCCTCTACAGAAAATTAAACTTTTTTTTTAACAATAGGAAAAACAAATACGGGATTCTCAGCCAGCCTTCCTATTAGCTGCCATGTCTTGCATCTTTCTCTAAGGCCTCATGTAACCCCGAGCCAACTGGAAGCTGTGCACAAATTGCCATTGTTTAGATGAACATTCTTCCTTCCCAACTTCTCAGGTAGCTTCCGTAGCTAAAGCCAAGGCTACTGTGAACAGCCAGTACGTATAGAGGAGGAAATCGTTTGATAGTAGAGGAGTTGACGCGCATCTCCACTTCTTGGCCACGAAGTGATTTTATTCAGATGTAAATATACTAGTGGCTGAGAACCAACATGGTGGAGCAACGGAGAACCATCTCCAGAGGCTAGTTTTTTTAAAACACAGGAATACTCTTTTTTCCAAGTTTCTGTGGTATGTAAGCTGGCGTGTTAAGGCCTTTCTTTGTGGCCTTAAGCACAGAAAAGGCATAACAGAATCCAGAATTGCTTGATGTGACATGCTCAATACTGGCAAAACATCTGTGATTATGGCCAGGTTGTTATTTTGCAGACAGCTGTGGAAATTCAGGTCCTTCACCTTCCTCCGCTGTTCTCCTGTCCCTCTACTGCAAGTTGCTGCTCTCACAGGTCTGCCAGCAGTTCATGTTAACCCGCTAATCCACAGACAGGGGCGAGGTCTGTTTAACATCGCTGTTAATGACCTGGATGAGGGAGCAGAGTGCACACTCACCAAGTTTGTAGATCATGTGAGACGTGGGAGAGCAGTCAGTATGGTGGAGAGCATGGTTGCCATTCAGAGACACTTTGGCAGGTTGGGAAGATGGACTGACAGGACCCTCGGGAAGCTCAGCAAAGGCAAGAAGGCAAATGCAGAGTCCTGCACCTGGGATGGAGTAAGCCCCTGGAGCAGGACAGGCTGGGAAGCAGCTTTGCAGCAAAGGACAAGTTGGACATGAGTCAGGCAGCGTGTCCTTGCAGCAGAAAGGCCAACTGCATCCTGGGCTGCACTAGCAAGGGACAAGGAAAGGAGTCTTCCGTCTGGCCTTTGTGAAACAACAGTCCTGCATCCAGTTTGAGGCTCTGCAGTATGGGGAAGGCGTTGACATACCGGAGCACATCCAGCAGAGCTATCAGAGTGGGGAGCTGTAGAGTACCACAGAGGAGGAGACGCTGAGGAGACTGAGTATCTTCAGCCCTAAGTAGTGATCTTACTGCTGGCCTACAGCTACTTACTGGGAGGGTGTAGAGAAGGTGGAGGCAGATTCTTCTGAGGGTATGTAGTGGAAGGATAAGAGGCAATGGACAGATGGGAAATTCTGAATAGATCCAAGGAAAAAAAGTGTTCATTATGAGGGTGATCAAACACTAGACTAAGTGCCTAAAGAGGCTGTGGGACCTCAGTCCTTGGAGATATGCAAACCCAGACTGGACTGGTCTGAGAAACCTGCTCTTGTTGGCCCTGGTTTGAGCAGGAGTTTGCACCAGAGCCCTCCAGAGATGCCTTCCACACGGGGAGTCTGTGATGTCTGGAGGTCACTGCTCGAAGCAGGGCCAACCCCAAGGTTAGGCTCGGAGCCCTATCTGATTGACTTTTGAATAGCTCCAATGATGGAGAGTCCACAGCTACTCTGGTCCCTTTTCCAGTGTTTGACTACTCTCATTGTGAAGAATTTTGTCCTTATATCTAATTGGAATTTTCCTTGCTGCAGCTTGTGTCCTTTTCCTGTACACCCCTGAAACAAGTCTGGGGTCATCTTCACTATAACCACTAATTGATTAGCTGAAGACTGCATTTTAGATTACCTCCTCAGTCTCCTCCAGGCTGGATGAGTCCAGTTAACCCAGTGTCTCCTTTTCCACTATGTTCTTCTGCCACATCACCATTTTAGTGGCCTCCACTGGACTAGCTGTGGTAGCACAGGCTCGTGAGGCTGGCAAGCACCTCTGGAGGTCATCTGGCCCACCCCCCTGCTCACGCTGGATTTAGGGGTGCTATACTGAAATAGCAGGATGAGGAAGGGTGGCTGCTTGTTCCCTAGGCTAGGTGTGGGTGACTGGGACGAAGGGAGGGATGCAGTCATCTTCCCGGGAGATGGCAATTTATTGCTTCTGTAGGCTGAGCACATTGTACCCACTGAAATTACTTTAATCTCTGGCTACGGAAAACAGTTTTCCCTACCTAGCAACTAGTAAGAGGGCAAAATCCTTGCATCCCAGCAGGTCTTCAGGAAGTGAAAAAAAATCCATTACACCTCTGCTAGGATTTGGGGCATTTTTCCTTTGAAAGGTAGCAAGAGTTGAAAGAGTTCTCAAGGTAGGATTGTGTGCAGGGCTAGCTGAATCTTGCTAAACTAGGAAAAAGTATTTGTGAAATGTTCAGCATCCAGAAGAGCTCAGTGTTTCCATCACCCTTTACTTGGTGCCGTAGTTGTGACCTCTACCAGTGGTCAGGTCCTCACCACTGACTGTGGAGATGCAACCATCAGCTGCATTGCTCTCAGCGTTTCCCGCAGCTTCTGGATATCAAGGCTTCCTGATCAGGTGCAGCACCGGGCTGCTTGTTTCGGCGTATCTGGCAATAGCCTGGTCCTAGAGATGAAACTTCAACCAGAGAAGCGACAAGATCACTTCTGAAACCTCAGCTGCTCCACTGGTGCTTGTGAGGCAAAACCAGCATGTCCCATTGTTGCTTCTGCAACACGCTGGCTGTTTAGATTTTGTGCCTCTAAATGAGTTAAGTTCTATAAAAGATTATTGTTCTGACTCCTTAAAACTGACAGGTGATTGCACAGGGAAATCCACCTCTGGATAAGCACGTAGTATGAATGTAAAGTGTTTCCCTTAGATTTCTGGACTTAGGCATCAACATCAAAATCATTTAGTGAAAAAATCATTCTTCCTCGGTCACCTGTTCAACTCATTCTGCTTTGTTTATCACATATACTCAATTTTATTATTTTAATTTATGTCTGTGTCAGCCTCAGTCAAGATGCAGGATGATTGCTGTATGTATCTCCCCCAGGCTTTTGTTTTCAGCAGATCATGTGTGACAAGCAGGTGCTACGTGTCGTTTAGAAGGACTAAAACTGATTGCTGCTTGTGAGAGAAAAGAGCCTGTGCTGTGTCTCTAGATTGTGGCTTTTGTTGAGCATTTTCATCTCTGATATATTACAACATGATTTTTCTCTTCCCTCCCATTGCACAATGAAGTATTACAACATGATTTTATTATTTCTTTTTCTCTTCCCTCCCATTGCACAATGAAATGATGTTGTATTTTTGTCAGACTAATAAAATAGCAAATCCAACAAGTTTAGCTTCTGATTTCATTGTTCTTTTTCAGCCTTTTGTTGTTCAGTCTGAAGCCTTGTCTTTAGCCGTTGCTTGTCTCCTCTGTGGTCTTTGATGGTTCAGGCTAATCCCTAATGAAGTGGGCAGAGTATTGCCAAAACAATCCCAAGGCCTTTATATTTATTCTGGCAATATTGCAAGAAAAGTTCAGCTGTAAATGGGAAAATATGTCAGAAATTTAAGGCCCGACAGATTCTTGTGCCTCAGACAACAGAAGACAGAATTTACATCATCAGAAAGCTCAGGAAACTCAGATCTCTGGTTCGTTTTGGTGCTGACAATTCCCACTTGTTGGTTGATATCTCTGTAACAGCAGCCTTGCTTTTTCCACCAGTTCAATTCTGATATGGTTTTAATCACTTTTGAGAACCTCTGGAGCTAAAAACACTATTCTAAACTCCCCGAAACCTCAGTTTCTCAACTTTCAAATAGTTTGAAGTCTTTGTTGTGGGATAGCTGCTGCAATCATCTGAAGATTGTAGTAGCAAAGGAGCAAGAAGATAAATATTTCGTAGCTGTTTTGGTGTCTTATCACTACTATTAAAAGTGCTTTGAGGACCAATGAAGTTAATGACAAATATTGGAAATAGCTTAAATCTTAATGAGGAAAATTAGGTGATTAGTATAGGGTTTGGGTCAGGAAAGCAGCCATCTGAATACAACGAATGCCTCATTTTTGTGCGGGTTACAGAGTAGTTGAGACATGGCTGTACTTAATGTTTTTAGCACTACTAACTTTCAGGTGATGGAGAGTAATTCAGGTGAGGTCCTGCAAGAACGTCCCTTCTTTTTGTCCCAGGACTTTTAGTTACACCTTTCCAAGGGAGAAAGACCAATTATCCCTTGTGTTGGGGAAACACATCAAACAGTTCCCATGAGAGCTAAAGCCCTCTTGTATTGCAGCTGTGTCTCCTGTCCTGTAGAAGTTGGATTTAGCCGGAGTGGGCTCATTTTTCATGACCCATACGTTTTTTGAGCTCTTCTTGGAGACTATCTAAAAGCCTAGCTAAAACCAAAATGCAATATTTCTTTCTTATGTCTTAATCATAGTTACCCGCTGCTGAAGCTGCCGCTGCCTGGAACAGGACCTGTGGAGTACAGCACCCCCGTGAAGGATTACTCTCCACCCTCTCCAGACACGGGTCTGCAGCAAGGGGATCTCAGCGAGCGTCCCGACTGGGTGAGTCCTGCACTGGGGGCAGCTGGGTGTGTATGGGGGGGAGATGAGATGAGATGGTGAAACATCCCGGCTGTGCTACCTACACTTCACTGTAATCAATGGAAAATATTTCTGGTGACGTGTTGCTTTATGTAACTGCTAAGTTTAGGCTGTATTTGTCTTGTATTAGTCTTACTCTATCAGAAAAACAGCTGCTAGGCGTTTGCAAGAGTTAAAAGCTTTGAAATGTTGTTAAGAGCTCATTTTTCAAGGAGAACTTTATCTAAGGCAAGTAGTACACTTTTTAAAGCATTGTTAGGTTTTAAATAAGTTTAATGATGGGTTCTGGCATAATAGGCCCCAATTTCCTAATGGCATACGAAGGCATGCAGTTTCCCTAGAGCAGCAGGACAAGCCTCCTGCTGAGATGCACCACTTCACATGCCTGCCCTTGGCCTCCTCTGAAGGGTGAGAATAGGATTTAGTCAGCCTTTACTGCTGTTAACTGTCTGTGGAGATGTTGCCAGTAATGACATGGTGGTTTTGGTGTTGTCAACCTCTCTCTGAAGGGATCTGGATTCTGGCTATCAACCAGCCTATCCTTCGAAGATCACTAACTAGCTGTCAGAATGGAAATGTCTGTCTGGCCTGGAGGTGGAAGACAGACTGTCCAGCTCCTCAGCACTTGCAATTTTCTCTCCTTTGGCCTTAAAATACTGCGTCTAGCAGGGTTTTTTCTGATGATATAGGTAGTCTAGGCTTCACCTCCAAGACATAGAGTTTTTTCTTAAGAATTAGAATTTAGGCAGCCAAAGAGTCTGGCTGTGGAGCTAGCTACTAGTGTGGTCTAGGGAGTTTAGGGATGCTTGAAGAACCTGGTGAATTGGGTATAATCTAAAGGTGGGTTTTGGGTTTTTTTTTTTTTGATTGGCTGGTATGTATCATGCAGGTAAACTAGACTTCTATCTTTATGTTACAAGTAAGGAATTAACTTTTGTTTTGCATGAACAAACTGGATGCTTTCCGAGAAGGCTGATAGCCTGGTCCAGGAAATGAGGAAACAATTCTAAAGTCATCCTTTGTAACCTGCATTGTTCTCTTTCATTCCAGGGTCTCTTAAGTAGAAATTACCCGTTGGGTTAATGCTTTTGATGCCTCCAGCTCTCTACTCTCTCCATGTGTGCTCTTTTCACTGTGATTGAAATCATTTGCTGCCTTCTACACTCCTGGGTGCCACTGAGAGCTTTTTGCACTATGCTGTTAACTCAGGCTGCTGCTGGCTGATTAAATCTTCCCTTCTGCTTTGTTGCCTAGTTCAGCTAACAGAGCACAAACGTTCTGGCTGCCACGGCACGTCAGCGCTGCAGTCCCCAGAGCAGGGTCAGCAGCCCGGGCACAGAGACCAGGAAGATTTAAATGGCACACAGCAGAATCAGCACAGGTTGGGGGAACCACAGCATTGTGAGAGGCAGTGAGTCCCTGCTCCTGCCTTTTATTCCAGTACCAAATTCAGCAGGCGCTGGCAAGAAGTGGCTGGGAGCCTCTGCCTCACAAAGAAGTGCAACAGACTGCTGCCAAAATGGTCAGTGGCATTTTGCCTCTTTGAGAAACAGACTCTTTTTGTTCTTGCTAGGTTAGTACTGTCATGTTTCACCTCTAATTCGGGAAAGGAAAATATAGTCTGGCAAACCCCTTCCTGAAAGGTTGCCAAGCTGTGGTCTAATTCTGCTAAGCAGCTTCCCACTCACCGTGTGTTTTCATTCTCCCTCTGGTTTTCCCCACAGTATGTTGGTGCTCCTGTGGCCTACATTCAGCAGATCTTTGTGAAAGCTACCGTCTCCCCATGGCAGAAGAACTTCCTTGCTGTTGATGTATTTCGTTCACCACTGTCCCGCGTCTTCCAGCTAGTGGAGGAGATTAGAAACCATGCCCTGAGAGACAGGTAATTACTGTTCATTAAAGTTTGTGTCGAAGGCAGACTGGCCCACTGTTGTACACACCCATCTTCTAAATTACTGCCTCGTAAGTCTGATTATTAGCTTTGACTTTGTAAGATTCTCAACATTAAAAGAAAATGAGGGATCACTGTTAACAAGTGACATCATATCCATCTGCATGCGTAGAGCAGTTTAACTTTTGTGCTAGAGAACTTGCCTGTCCTCTAGTCACTGATAATTGTCAGGAACCTTCCAGTCAGAGTCTTAGGCAGAGGGGTCTGGAAGGGTCCTCCAAGGTTATACCTGTTACAGCAGATGGCAGCGTCATATAATCCCTTCATAAGCATGCAAGTTTTGTATTAAAGCAAGTTCATTTGAGCCCACTATGCCTATTGTGAAGCTCTTCTAGAATTTCATGTGTCAGGAACCTTCTCCTGACTTTCCACTTCAGCTATATTTAGGACCAGTTTATACTTGCTTGTTTTTGTCCTGACACGGTCTTTGTACAAAAATAGCTTTCCTCTGCTTCCAGATATTTACAGGGAGAACTCATACTCCCCACCCCAAATCCTTGTTTGTTAAGCTAAACATATGAAACCATTGGCTTACTCTGGTAAGACGGCTCTGTACTCAGTTGGTCATCCTGGTTGCTCCTCTTGGCACTGTTGTTGTTAGTGTATCATTCCTGAATGTGGGAGATTAGAACTGTACACAGTATTCTCAGAGAAGTTTCATTCGTGCATTATTTTCCGTGGAAATGCCTTTCTTGAAATACGGTGAGATTGCAGGTCCCTTTTTCATGGCCAGTCATATCAATTTTACACATTATGAAGTGATTGATTAACTTCCCCATGTCCCTCTCTGTCATTTCCAGCTGATGAGCTCCCACCTTATAGCAGAAGCTCTTTTTAGTTCCCAAGTCTTGCACTTTGTGCTGTTAATAGAAAGGGGATTAAATTTATTCCAGCCCTCGCATCATCCATTTCAGATATTCTGTTCCTTTTCTGTATGAACGGTGTTTCTTTATTTTGTGTCACTGGCAGATGTTCCTATATCTTATTCCAAGGTTATTGATAAAAATATATAATAATCCTGGTTCTGTAAACTGTCTGTGAGAAATTCCACTTTGTTTTCCTCAGTACTGGCGGTTCCCCTTTCAGCAGCCCCATGACCATTTTCCTGTTAACCTTGTTCTTTACTGCATCACAATTTTTGTGCTAACTTCTGTCTTTCCTGTGCATTTTCTGTGTGGTGCTGCATCAGAAGCTTTATTGGGGCCCAAGTAGATGAGATCTGCTGTGCTTTCCCCATCCAAGAAGTCAGGCATTTTAAAGAAAAGACCACTCAGATTAGTTTGGCATATTCTTTCTTTGTAAATCAAGAATACATTTTATACACCTTAACTTGCCTATGGTTTTTTTTACATAAGTTTTCCTTCGAGTTCTAAGTTTTTATTTGTGGTCAAGTTCTTCGCTGGGTTTACTTTCTAAGGACAGAAAGGCTTCCCTACTTGTCTGTCTATGTTCAGTGAGAATAATGATGCTGAGAACAGGCCAAGTGTGATGAAAAATGGTGAGATTAGAGTCTTTGATCATCTCCTGGCTTTTCAGCCAGGTGCTTTCTTCATTCTTTGTCCTCTAACTCACACGGGTAGAGAAGATTTACTGCTTGTTCATACTTCCTTGACAGCATCCCTCATTCCTTCATTTTTGAGGGCATCCACTTTACTACTTTAGCTGGTGATTTTGTCCTTTTTTTAAAACCATTCCTTGCAAGCTAGCTGTCTGCTCTCTCTGATAATTTTTTAGAAATGCCATTTATGCTGTTAAATACGTTGTTCTTTCCTACCAACTCACAAAGCCTTGGCACTGACATTCTTTCTGCGTTTTCAGTTCATCTCCTCCTCCTAGGGCAATGAAGCTGGTGAAGGCTCTGGAGCACAAGTCTGATGAGGAGCGGCTGAGGGAACTGGGGTTGTTTAGCCTGGAGAAGAGGAGGCTGAGGGGAGACCTCATTGCGCTCCACAACTACCTCAAAGGAGGTTGTAGCGAGGTGGGGGTCGGTCTCTTCTCCCAAGGAACGCACGATAGGACGAGAGGAAACGGCCTCAAGTTGCGCCAGGGGAGGTTTAGATTGGATATTAGGAAAAATTTCTTCACCGAAAGGGTTGTCAAGCACTGGAACAGTCTGCCCAGGGAAGTGGTGGAGTCACCACCCCTGGGGGTATTTAAAAGACGTGTAGATGTGGTGCTTAGGGACATGGTTTAGTGGCGGGGGGGGGAGGGGTTTAGTGGCGGGCTTGGCAGTGCTGGGTTAACGGTTGGACTCGATGATCTTAAAGGTATTTCCCAACCTAAATGGTTCTATGATTCTATATGTGTAAATTTAGATAATAATCGGTGTATAGTTGCCAGTTACAGGTTAGAAACAACTTGCTCCTAGTATATGTGCTGTCTTCTCATTATCTCTCCTTGGTGTTGCCCTTGATGAACAGTGATGCAGCATGGAGGCAAAATTAAACTTACATAGCCACCAGAAGGAAAAGGCTGGGTAGTTGGTTTAGACCTGAACCTTGGGATAAGGGCTCCCATTTTGGTGAAGGACTCAGATATTTCAGGAAACATCTAGCTTTGAGATAAATTCTAAAATTACCTCAGAAGTCATTATGAAGTTCCTGGTTGTCAGTTCCTTTCGTCAGTATCAAAGTTAAGTGCAGCTGATTTTCTTAATATGAAAAAAGCATTATTTTATACTGAAGTGGTACAGAAGGAGCTGAAAATTATTGACAATAAGAAATGGATAAGAAACACAAGGTGATTATATTTTCATCAGCTGTAAGATCACTGAAACATTGAGCAGTCATTTGTAAAAAGTCAGAAGTGACCTGAAATTTGTAGTTTGCTTCAGTTCATGTTTTTTAGTATCGCTCTGTGCATCCACAACATCCCGGTAGGGACATTGGCTGTGTGTGTTTAGTTCACAGATAAGAACGTACATAGGCTTATCTGCGGTGTAAGCTGTTATCACTGTTATGTTTCAGAGTTAGCTAAAGCTGAAAGACTAAACAATAGTTACTCTTCCTGGAGTATTATCGGAGGCATCACTGCATCAGTTCCTTTAGATTATCTGTCAGAAAGCTTCTGTTCCTATAAACACAGTATTTTCAAGCATGTATTTTAGTATTTTCTTTTGGTGGCTGTGTCTTTTCTAGGTAGCTTGCCATATAGTGACAGAATGTAGATTCTGGAGGGAGTGTTCACAAAGACATAACTCAAATCATCATTAGTTAGTTTCCATGTTTTCTCTTTGTAGTCATTTAAACTCCTCTAGAGAAGGCATTTTACAATAGGACCCTAACTGATTCATTTTCTGGAGCCACTTTCTCTGTAATCTGTGAGATTGGAGCCAGGAAAGACTGGTCTCTTATATCTTAACTTAGCCTGTCTTAAATATACCCTTCCTGGGCAAATCCCACGACTTGCCCATATCATGTTGAGGGAAGCGTTCTCTTTTGGACTAGCAGCTCTTCCTTGTCTAGCCAAATAGTGTGCTGCCAGGTTTTGTCACTAAACCTTCACAGTCAGATCCTATTGTAAGCCCAAGTTGGGTTTTGCTTGAATTACTAGTTGACAAAAATTATGTAATTGTGTTAAAATGAAGTTCGGGAACAAACACAAGTTCCTTTTCATACCAGTTACACCTCTGTTAATTTCTGAACCTGTAAGGCATTTTCTTTTCCATACAATGCAGAGGGGTTCTGAAAACGTTTTGCACAGTTGCAGATGTTGAATCCTTTGTACATTTTAGAGCACTCCATACACCTTAAATAATCCACATCAGGTTAATTAACTATTAATTAATAAAGATTTCTGTAAAATGTCCCATTGCATATGGGACATTTGGAAAGAAGTATGCAGAGGAGTTTGAAGTCTTTGAAGAAGAATTCCAGGGAGACAGTTTCTCTGTAGACTGGAGGTATCTTAAATGTGGAACTGAAAATTGTGGCACCTAGGATGGGTGAAGAGTGAAAGCTGTGTGGTCAGACAGTGTGCAGAGAAATGCTAACGGCGTTCTGGAGTCTGTACACCTGTTACAGTGAGATCCTGGTAATGGCCTGAGACTCTTGATCCTTGGTTGTGAAGAACAAGAGCAGTAACGTGGTGATGCAGGTCCTTGGGGTATTAATCTCAGCAGCTTTGCCTTTTGTTTGTGAGAGTTGCAACATACACGGCAGTGTCTAACCTTTGTTTGCGTTTCAGTTCTGGTGTCAAAAGCTTGGAGGAAGTTTGCCTTCAGGTAACAGATCTTCTGCCTGGCCTCAAGAAGCTGCGGAATCTGCTCCCCGAACATGGCTGTCTGTTACTGTCTCCAGGGAACTTCTGGCAGAACGACCGTGAGCGATTCAATGCTGACCCAGATATCATCAAAACCGTCCACCAGCATGAGCCAAAGACATTACAAACATCAGCTACTCTTAAAGGTAAGAGGTTGAAGTGCCAAAGAAGTTATGAGAAATGCCTACAGCTTGCATCGCTGTTTTGTCCTTGGTATCTCCAACACCTAGATTGCCAATATTACCAAATTGGGTGGCATTTTGTTATTCAGCATCTGGAATGAAACAACCAAATATATGTCATCTCTCATTTTGTATCTGTATTTGAATTCAGTTCTGTATTTGTGGAAAGTAAATAATTCCACTCAGTCAGACTCCTTTCTGTAACTGTAAAAATAGCAGGTAACTTGTCCAAGTCTTTTTGTTCCTGGCACTCTAAATTTGCTCTAGCCTATCTTTTTCCCCTCACGCTATTGTCTGTCATATTCAAAGACTGTCTCATTGTCACAGATAAATGAACATTCATCCTGCTCCCTCTTGTGCGTTCACTGACAGTTGCTTGCGTATAGCCCGTGTTGACACTGGATATCATAAAAGTATTTTTCTCTCTTAATTAAGCAAATAAGCCTGACTATGTCTGAGATCATATTGTTTAATGGTTCCGTAAGGCCAGAGGAAATGCTGCTCCTTTGGTTTCAAAGGAACTTCATAGGTGTCGGCAAGCCTGTAGTATGACATGTCTGAACAGGGGTTTTGTAACCCTAAAGTGAGTTTGTGTTAAAGGTTATTTTTTGAGCATCCAGAGTGTGTGCCCACTGTGGTCTGGAGCACATAGAGCCTCTCCTTGAGCGCTCATTCACAAAACAAGATGGAGGTCCACAACATCCTGGGAATTCCTGAGAACAGTGGTAGTGTTCATCATGATGCATAATTTTTTCAAGTCTGCGTTTTAGCGCACAAGAGTAATAGACTTTTAAATAGTCCTTTGCAATGCAAAGTCTTCCGGGAAGACTCTGGTTCAAATCACACATCGACATGCACAAAAACAAGTGTCTAAGGATTTCTTTGGCTGCATCCTTAAAGATAATGTCTGTCTCCTCTGTTGAAGGACAAATTGGATGCCCACTTGACATGCCTGTACACTAACACACACAGCACGGGGAGCAAACAGGAGGAATTAGAGGTGTGTGCAGTTGGAGGGCTACAACCTCGCCCAGCTCACAGAGATGACGTGGGGTAGCTCTCAGTACTGGAATGCTGCTGTGGGTAAATGCAGGCTCTTCAGGAAGAAGGACGGGCTGGGAGGGCGAGGAGTTGTCCTTTCTGTGAGCGAGCAGCGGGAACGTGTGGAGCTTTGCTTAGGAACAAGTGATGAGCTAGTTGAGAGCTTATGGATTAGGATTAGAGGGCAGACCTTGTCTGCTACAGACTGCCTGGTCAGGAAGAAGAAGGTGAGGACAGACAACTTCCCCACAGGAAGGAAGATTTTTCTTGTGTTTAAAGGAAATTTCCCGTGTTTTAATTTGTGCCCATTGCCTCTTGTCCTGTCACTGGGCACCACTGAGAAGAGACACTCCATCTTCTTTACTCCCCTGCATCAGGTATTTATCCACATCGGTAAGATCTCACCAGAGCACTGAGAAGGTGTTTCCTCAGTAGTTCTCATTCAGCATTCTTCATGATTAACACCTCTTGTATCCCATCTTTTTTGTTTATTTTGTTGTTATCCTAATGTTTCGTCCATACTGTGTTTTTGCAGATCTGTTGTTTGGACTGCCTGGGAAGTACAGCGGGGTGAACCTCTATAATAGGAAGCGAGTGGTATCATACACTGTCACACTGGGTCTCCAGCGATATGATTCCAGGTAAGGAGCTTTAGCCTGTGCTATTTCTATGTTAGGGATCCCTTGTTCAATTCTTGGCAAGTTTGCTGTTTTCTCTACTCTGATTATTGTTATGTTTTTCTTTAATCTCCATTTTCTTGTGTTTTAGAGTATTTTAGGATCTTTTGAACATGCTATGGAAAAACAGCGTGCTGTTTTTGGAAGAAAACTTGCTGTGTTTTAAGGAAATAAAATATTATCGGTTCTCAGTTTCTCTTTGAAAAAAGTATATATAATACCCAAAGCTGCCAGTGGGAGTTCCTCTGATGACGGCTTCATCTGCACACAGAGCTGTCATTGTTGCAGCCAAGGCCCAGTAGGTCTTTTGACCCAGTTCCTGGTGCATAGAGTGGTTTGCTTTCCAGTAAGCACTAATTCAGCTGGTACCAACTGTGAAACCCCTTTAGCAGTGTTGGCAAAGGTGGCTTGGATTGAGTGGATCTGAGGACTAAACGTTCTGCTCAGTGCTGCACAGAATTCCCCAAGGAATGCCTAGGACAGAATTGGCAGCGCAGGAGTTGAAACTTGCTCTGCCGCCGCCCATGCAAGAACCCTCCAGCCTCAAGGACTGTCATGTAGCACCTTTCATCGGCCATACTTATATAAAATTCAGGGGATGTTTGAGACTACAGCATGTTCTATTCCCCAGGGCCAAGATCGTGGATGATGAGCCCTTGCTTTAAATAGTTTTGCGAAGTCTTCATAGCTATCTTTGAATCTTCGTAGAAATCAAGGTCTGTGAGATTGCCACAGTACAGATGTGACACATGTAGTTTGGGCCGCAGAGGAACAGACTTAGGAGTCAGGCCTAGAGAGAACCATGCTTTGTAAGTCTGTGTGAATCTATGGAGCTTCTTCCTTCTTGATCTGTACCCACTGAGCTCCTCCTTGGAATTGTGTGCTGGTTGTTGGGTACAGTGTAAGTGACATCCTCCTGCTTGCTTTTCATTCCAGGTTCCTCAGCAGCCTCCGCTCTCGCCTCAAGCTGCTGCATCCCAGCCCTAACTGCACGCTGCGAGAGGAGAACATCATTCATGTCCACTTCAAGGAAGAGATTGGCATTGCTGAGCTGATACCCCTCGTCACCACTTACATTATACTCTTCGCTTACATCTACTTCTCCACACGTAGGTTTGTGGGGTGGAGGGCCTTGAGGGGAGAGCAAGCTAATAAGCCACCTTTATACCTGCCAGCTGATATGTAAGGGATCAGTGGTGCGGTGCCCTTTCCATGGCTACAGATAAGAGAGGCTTCTGTCCATAGCACTGCTGTTCCCTCCTGTGAAAGGTGGTGTTGAAATTTTACCCTGAACTTTCATGTAGAGAATTAGTAGTCCTGTTTATCTGATTTCTGCTAATTTGTCCCTCTTAGCCAGTGTGGTGTTATTCCTTGTGATATCTTCTGGGGTGTCTTCTGTCTTAGGCAGCTTTAAATGCCATAGTAATGACATTTTTTTCAGTTCAGAGAGACTAATTCATTGTCAGACAGATCAAATACATGTTCTGAGCTGGTGGTTTTAGACCTTACTAGCCACATTTAAGTTCCTTTTTTCATGTCTCAACAGTGCTCTACTGGATCTAGTTTGAGCTGCAAGCCATGCATTATCCTCTGTCCCACCCTTGTTACAGTACCTCTTATGTACTGGGAGGCTCTGGGAGCTGGGAGCTGCATTTCAGACATTGAGACTGATCTACCACTACTTCTGGGTTGCAGGATATTAAGCTACCTGCTGAAATAAGTCAGGATGAGGATCCCTTATTGATTTTTTATTAATATGTAATTTTCTTTTGCTTGGTAACCGAGACTTTGCATTCTGTTTTTCAGGGAAGATTGACATGGTGAAATCGAAATGGGGCCTGGCACTGGCAGCGGTCGTGACGGTGCTCAGCTCTCTGCTCATGTCCGTTGGGCTGTGCACGCTGTTTGGTTTGACACCTACTCTTAATGGAGGGTATGTTTCCAGCACCAAACCTCTTCCTAAAGAAGGGTAGATGGAGGTGAAATCATTTAAAAACAGCTGTTAAATGCTTAATCTTTAAGATCTAGTATTTTTCAGATAAGCTTATGAGATACTATTTTACACACTGCTGTGCAAAATTATCCTCAGATACTCTCCTGGGCTGAAGGGCCATGTGTTTCTCTGCTGGCCAGCCAATAGACCTGACTGGGTCCCAGTCTTCCTGGAGATGCCTTATTGCTTAGCAATTGGCTCTTTCTGCCTAAAGCAGAAGGAATTGTTGGGGCAACGGCTTATTCATAACTTGATTTCCTGGCAGCTAAGTAGGCTCTCACATACCTTCCTCCTGCAGTGACTTGTCGTAGCATCCAGAAGGGCTTGTTACCTTTTCTCTGGCTGATGGAGGTTCATTACATTTTACTCAGAAAAATCTTTAAAGGTGGCAGAACTGACCTGTAGTATTTGTGCCTGGGAGGCTACCTGGGTGACTTTGCACCCACCACTGATAGTTGTCGGCTCTTCTCCTAACTGGGGTTCCTGCGCGTGTTAGAGTTGGTGTTTGGGACTTTTGATGTGGTTATTACCATGCATTATATTTGTGTCAAGCTGAAAAGCTCTGAGAAAGCTCTAACTGGCACCTCACCTACCTGAGTTCTACACACTGTTCATTTCTTGCTAATTAAAGTTCAGTTCAGAATCTGTCTTCTGATTTTCATATCCCTTTCCTAAGTAGTTAAGGAAATATCCATCATTTTTGTTCCCATCTCCTCCTCACAGCTGTACACCGCAGGAACAATGAAAAATCTGACCTATGAGGGAGACTCCTCAATGCTGGTGATAGTTTATCAGGAGCCAGACCTAGATGGAGGAATTCCTCTCCTAGAAGCTTAAAAGAGTTACGATAAATGACTTCAGAAACTGAAATATTTGTTGTTTCTGGTTTTACTGCTGTGGTGCGTAGGAACCTTAATTATGGTTCAAGACCGCATTGTTCTGTGAGCTGTACAAATGAAACAGATAGGATCCACTGCGTGTTTATAATTTTAGTGCAAGAAAAAAGGCAATATTTGGATGCAGATACATGGGGGGAATCCAAGGGAACAGTTTTGCTTAGTGCAATGACCATGGCCTTTGTATACTATCACCCTTACTGTTGTCACACAGAATGGCTAAACTAATCTAGTTATTCCTCCTACAGGGTAGAAAAAGTTAATTCAGTCCTTATTTCTAGAAATAGTTTTCCAGCAAAATTTCTTTCCCTTAAAATGATTGCATGGACAATCCTTCGGGATTGAAACTTAATTCTTGCAATGCTTTATAAATTATGTCTAATTAGATGGAAGACCCTTGGATTCTGTGGTGATGGGGTCTGATGACATAGAGGTTTTTTTTTTACTTTTGATGAGTGACCTTTCCCTGATGCCCCAGCATCTGCCAGAGCACTTTGCCTCTAGTTACCTGATTCCCACTGGGGACAGAGTGGTTTTGGTGTGTCATATACCAGTGGCAACGTGCTAGGATTTGGCGTCGGGTGCAGAGTCTGGTTAAACTTTGATCTGACTTTCAGCCTTTTTTATCCATTTTGTTTACAGCAGAGCCTTCCAGGCGTGGGTGTGTTTGTTTTTAATGGTACCTGTATTTATGATAAGCCTTTTTCTCCTCACTGGTTTTTGTAAGGTATTAAAATGAAGCTTGTTGCCTAGAGATCAGTGTTTGCTTGCTACAGATATGAGATATTAACTGGACCTTAATCATTATCAATCAGCTTTTATAATGAAGTAAAATGATTATAGATGAGGTAGGCATTAGTCTTATTTTACAGAAAAGAAAACTAAGTGGAAATAGGTGACGTGATCTATGCAGGATTTAAGAAAGAATAAACAGTGAAGTTGAGGAGAATGCCTGGAGTTCGCTGGAAGTGGGAATCCTGTGCACTGGTGGACTGGGAGAGTCTCTAGATGAGTCCAGAGCACAAGCCACCAACCCACAAGTTGGCATCTCAGCTAGGTTAGAGGAATCACAATCTGAAATGATGAACTGCTACTCCTTGTTGCCTATAAAAAAAGGCCTAAACCGACTAGCTCAAATATGAACATTTGCATTTTAGGTAAGACAGGCTGATGTGATAAATTCTTAAATCTTCCAAACATTTTGGGTAAACCAGAGGTTGTCTCTGTTCACAAGTATATATGGAGTCAGAGAAGATCTGTTTTTATTATGAGTTAACAGTAGTGTTTCTGTTGACTCTCTGGGATGCTGGATCATGCCATGATGCAGCACCTTCTGGCATCGAAGCGGTAAGTGAAGTGTAAACGTTTCAGTAGATGGACACAATACGGCATCTCCCTTTGCTCTTCCTCTCTTCTTGTAAGCTCTTTCTCAGTGCTTGGCACTGTATGGCAGAAAATATAACAAGGATCTCTTGCCATCAGCCTCACTCTGAGTGGGGACAAATGAACTTAGGTTTTGGAGTTGCAGGGCGTGAACAGCTTGTGTTTGTCTTGTGCAGAGTCGCATTACTCTTCAAGAAAACTTAATGTCTCATTGCTTTTAAACGGCTGGTCATTTAACAGGAAAACTGCTGACTCTTCAAGGGCTATTGAAACTCATAACCTGGGACTACTAGTTAATTATCTCCTGCAGTAGAAGCTACTGTTTAAGTAGGACATAGTTGATGAGAGAATTACGGGTTTTCTTTTCCGTATTTGGACTGCCTTCTGAAGGCTTACGGCAGCTTATCCGGCAATGGTGCTAGACCCTGCGTATCTTGCAGGACTGTGCGTAAGGACAGGACTCTGCAAGGACTCTGCAAGAGAGTTCCCTTGCAGATAATATGCTCTGCAGGATGGTGCTGTGCTGTGCAATGTTTGTTGCGTTCTCTTTATTTAGCAATTTCCATCTCTAAGGATTACAAAGAGCTTTTCTCACATCTGTCTCCTGTCCTAAAGTACTGCTCGGTGGAGTGACACAGGTTATGAACTGAAAATGCTTTAGATAAAGGCAGAACTAAGTTGTACTTTCTAGATTCTGGATTCTTTGACATTAACAGGAAGTTGCTCATGAAAAGCTTACATATAGTAATATAGTAGTTAATATAGTATAAATACATAGTTTGTATTTTTTTTGCTAAGGAAATGCAATTCCTGCACAGGTTTTGGACAGGAGGTGAATGGACCAGTGTGTTGCACAATTGTTAGAGCTAAAATTGGTTAGGATACCTGGAGAAGGGTGCGTGGAGTTTGTTTTTTGGTTTATGTCATCTTGCTTTCAGTGGAGCTCTTGCTGTTTTAGCTTGCCATTTGCTCAAGGAATCAATTGGAACATGTTAGCTGACTTAGCAGTGGTTCCAGACAGGTGTTTTTCCGCAGCTGAGCTTGTAAGGTACAGGCTGCTGACAGCTATATGTGTGCAGATGTTGTTGAAGCCCATGTCAGATGGCCATAGGCAACTGAAGGCAGCATTTGGGAAGGTGGTCCTTGGGGGTTATGGCAGGCAATGGCAGAAAGTAGGAGGTGTTTTCTGAAACTCTGTTGTTTACCTGTCTTGGCTGTTAGTGATTTGCCATGCACGCATGCACATTCTCCTTTTGGATCTGTACATACCAGCCCAGCCCAAATCCATTACCCTCCACAGTGAAAGCTTTAGTATATTAAGTGGAGTGGAAGGGAAATGAAGAGATTTACTATCTACCGTGTTCTGGCTCGGAACAGCTTTTTCTCTCTGATCTGGACTGTATGTAAGTAGTTCAAAAGAGAAAAAATTTTAGGGGTAAGAAGAAAAGTTGAATAAAGTCACAGTGGTGACCTTGGGTAGTCTTACTCTTCTGCATGCATATATATTCTGAAGGGCAAATCCATTTCAGTGTGTTTTCTTGACTCTTGGGTAGAAGCTATCCTTGGCAGGATTTAGTTTATTTATGTACAAAGCATTGCATGTTCTCAGTGTTGTGGCTTCTGAGCTACCTGGTGTACTGGAGAACAGAGCTCCACACACGTTAATTTATCTCCTCCCAACAGAGAAGTCTCTTCATGTGTCTCCTTCACTGCCCAAGACTGGATTGCTTACAGCAGCTGCAAGGTGTGGAAGCTTTTGCCCAGTGGGTATCTGAACCAGGCACTGCCCATGCTCTTCACTTGAGAATTTTTTTTTTTAAAGTTTTGTTTAATGTAATGCTTAGCTGTGATTTATCAGGATTTTCACTATTGATGGGACATGCTCCCTACTCTCTTGTAACGTGCTCTTGCTGACTAATTAAGACTGTTGTTCGAAGTCCGTCTTTTTGATTTGCACCTCTTTGTACTAGATGCTTTAGAGAATTTGAGAGGCACTGTCCCAACCCTGGGAAGCATTAAGACTGATTTAGTGGTGGTCTACAATGGCCATTTTCCAGAAAACCATGCAGCTTTGCAAAAATGTTAATGTCTGTCCAAAGCAGATGAAATACAGAATCCTTACGTCATCATAGAGTAATATTGTACGAGAAGGGATTTGGCTGAAAGCACTGGATGGTGTTTCCTGGCCTGGACTCTAGGATGCATGTTTGCTGCTAAACTTGTGTTCCTCCCTTCTTTCTCACCAAGGATCTCATTCTCAGTTCTGGTTCTGTTTCCTCTAGAGAAATATTTCCATACTTGGTTGTAGTGATTGGCCTAGAGAACGTGTTGGTTCTCACCAAGTCAGTTGTCTCTACGCCCGTTGACCTGGAAGTGAAGCTACGCATTGCCCAAGGTATGCAGCCTGCTCTGGAAAAATGTTGAGAGAGAGAAAATTAGGGTGACCCAAGGACTGGGAGATGGGGAATGATCTTAATTCTGGTCTGCGAAGGAAACAAGGACTGTGTGTGTTGAATGTGAATTGGGAATTGTATTCTATTTGTACTATTTTTGATAATTCCAAGAACTAATACAAGCCTGTAATTGTGGGCACTGCTTTTTAAGATTGTTGTCTGAAGCATTGGCTAAATAAGTGTTAAAAAGTGTTAGGAAGGGAGAGCTGTATCTGCTGATATAGATATTTAGCACCTTGTCCTCTCGTGTCATGAATATCGTAAATGCAGTCCACAGGTCATATGAAGTTCTGCTGAGTCTGTGACAAAATTATCTTCTCTATTATAGATACACTCTGTACCTGCATAAGGATTTGAGTGCGCTCAAACCATGGATAAATGGAGTTTCAAACTTAAAAGATGTTTCTAAACATCAGGGAAGAGAGGTGCTAGAGCGTGGCCTAGAAAGATCTACCTAGTTTTAAAAATACAAGTGGTTTGCATGCTAGATCGAAAACAGGACTCAAAAACTCAATGGTCCTTTACACTTCTGAATCCCTGTATTGCCCTGTGCAGTACCCTCCAACTGCTTAAATCAGGACAGTTTTGTCCTGAGCTGAGAGAGTCGTCCTGAGTTCCCTTTGTAGTTAATGATAATCCCGCTAATAAAGACATTGGGAGTCTACAATCCAATTCTTTGACTTAGATGTTCAAAGTAGGTCAGGTGAATTTTAGTCTGAAAATGCCTTTTTTGCCTATTGTCTTTAGATGCCTAATTTTAAAGAAGGGATATCCAGTTCCTCATGTCTGTCCACTAGTGAACAGTCTCCTTTTACCTGTCTTTGCATGTTCTTTCTCCAGGCCTGAGCAGTGAGAGCTGGTCGATTATGAAGAATATGGCGACAGAGCTTGGGATCATCTTGATCGGGTATTTCACCCTTGTCCCAGCCATCCAGGTGAGTATGGCTGATCAGTTTGAGTTTGCAGGACAGAGGCTTGTAGGCACGGCGGGAATGCAGTGTCCAATATTCTGCTCCCCTCTCTGGCTGATTGGATTAGGAGTCTGTTAGTGGGAAATATATACGTCTAGACAATCTGGATCCCGCCAGGAGCTAGCCTTCTGTCCAGCAGCTGCCGCTGGATCCCAAGTCTCCCCAGTCGGGATCGTTCCAGTAGCTGGGCTTACACATTCAGTTCATCCAGTAGTTGGCCCTGGATCCTTGCTCTCCCCAGTTGCCTTACACACACACACACGCACACACACACACACACACGTGCCGGTGGGTCTCTCAGTCACGCGCCAGCCCCGCAGTCCCTCTGGCAGTTGGCCTGGAGCCTCTGGTCTGTCTCCTCCAGCGCTCTCGCTCAGGGACACACACATACCTGGCTCCCAACCCACTCACCTGCTCTCCAGCTGCCTGGCTCGATAGTCACTAGTGATCACACACTGACATGCGTGCTCTGACGTGCTCCAGTTGCTGGTGACCCAGACACGTGGGTCCCTGTGCCCCATGGCCCCCGTTCCAGCGGTTGGTGCTTAGACCCTGCTCGTTCTGGTTGCTGGCACCACAGACACGTGGGCTCCTACAGGACACATGGGTTTGGAGCCTCTCTCACTGGCTCATCGTGATGGCTGTCACCCCTGGACCATGGGGGTGATCACTTTGCTGCGACAGCCCTGGGAGGAGCCAGATCAGGGGCTCGTTTCCCTCCCTACCGTCCGTCCATTCTCCTTGAGTTTGTGGAAATGAGCTTCCTATCGCAGAACTTAACACTGTCCCGTGCTTTTGCTGTGGGGATGCCTTTATTCCAACCTAAAAATGCCTTTTTGTGAGCTGACTAATCCACTTTATAAGTGGATGGAAGAAAAAAACAACCCTAGTGCAGAATGTCTGCTCTGAGAATTAGGGTGGACAGTCTGTTTGGGGCTCTTTCACCAGACTGATGAATCTGTAGATTTTTACAACCACATGTATCTGTTTCATGGGTGGGTAAACTGAAAGCTCAAGGTAGAATAATTGATCTGTCAGGGGTCATGCTGTTGGGTCTGTGTAGCACTGAAAATAGCATCTTCTGCCTCACAGTGTGTTACTTTCTCTGCTGCACAGTCTCCTTTTCAGGACTGTGCTTGCTGAGTTGCATCAGGAGGTTGACACCATTTGATTTCTGATCCTTGACCAAGCAGAGCTTGTGCCTGGTGAGCTACATGAACAGAAGTACTGCCTAGACACAGTTCCTGAACCTCTCTCAGTATCCCAGAGGACAGCAAGAGAGGAGCTATAGTAGAGTTCCCCAGGCTACAGCCAGCCACCTATTGTGGCCTGATTTTTTTATTTGAAGCTGATTGCAGAGATTGCTCAGCTCAAACGCTGGCATGATCCATCCTTTGGGTCTAAATTGGGCTCATTCATATGGTATATTAGCACCTTTTGGCCTCCATTTCATTGCTGCACGGCTTGACCTCAGAAAGTGAAGCTTGACAGTATCTGTGAAGCGAGCGTAGTGCCAGCAGCCCTGTTGTGTGGATACCGCTGGGACAGTTCACTTTCTTGTTGCACTCGGCTATAGAGGAGCTTGCAGGGTGCACTCATTACAGGACAGGAGTGTGATAAAAGGGATGGGGCAGAGCCATGTAAGTGTCAGTAGAGCCATGGGAAAAAGTGACACCATGCCCCCACCGCCGTGTTATCTCTATTAGAGTACTCCTGTTTATTACAGCGTTTTGACACATGTGACGACATCCACTCTGCTCTCTATGTGATCCTGTCTTTCCTTGGATGCTTGCTTTCTCCAGAGGAAGAATCTCACGGGGATGCTGTCTGTTAGAGACTGACAGCTGCTCTGCTGGAGTCTGGTGTATGCCCCTTATCTTCGTCCCTGAGAGTGAAGGACACTGTACAGATAATGTGCTGTACTCGCGTTGCAGAGTTCAAGGGATCTGTCAGAAAGAGAGCCAGGCTGCGTAAATCTGGCAGGGACCTTTGCTCTAGGCTGTCAGAGGAGCAGTGCAGTGCTGGGGTCGTTCAGGCGCTATCTGGTATAGGGATCAGGAGAAGAGGGAGGCATTTCTTTGCTGAAGGCTCTCACCTGCCCCAAGGACTGTAATGGGTCTTGTCGTTTTTCTCAGTTACTCCTTGGCAGTGCAGCTCGTTTGGCAGAAGGGAGTTTTCTATGTTTTCCACGTCTCTCCTTGTCCTAAAATAAGAGTTTGGCTTCAGATGAGCATTGCACATCCACTTGAAATCCCTCCTAATTTTGAGCAGCAATGAAATCCTCTTGTCTTGCACTGCAGGTGGGTAGAGACCCCTGTTCTCCTGGCACAGTGTCACTGTTGATGGTCCTGAGATGCTGCAGGGCTGTGTGCTGAGCGCTTGTCCTGTGCTTTCCATCTCTTGCCCGCTACCTTGTACCGAAGTTCACACTGAGAGCCCAATCCTGCACCCACTGAAATCACTTTGGGTTTTGCCATAGGGTGTGCAGTATCCAACTGTGAGAAGATTTTAGATTTCCAGGGCTAGCAGCTTCAGATGTCTCTAATCCTAAGTGGAGTAAGTGGAGGTATTAACAGAACTAGTATCTCTCCATGCAGAGCCTGCCGTTTGTGGAGCCTGTGTTTGCTGAGGTCTGGGTGAAGTCCAGGTGGACGTTGCTTTCCTTCTGGTTTTCTCCTTGAGAGAGGAACCTGTGTTGTGTTTTCATCCCTCTGCTTCCAAAACCTCCTGTCAGATGTGGGGGAAGGGGCTAAAGAGAAAAACCTGATCAGAACCTGCTTCCTTGTATTGCTGTTGCTGGGAGGTTTGGGGAGGGGCAGCTGACCTGGGGGTTATCTTGTTTCATATCACACTGGTTTTTAAATAACAAGCAGTTGATTGCTTATGTTTCGAGAACAGTTTGGACAGGATGGGGAGGCTTCAAGGTTTGTTTAGAGGTTTTGGACAGCCTTTCGCACTATCTCTTTTCATTTCACTGTGCTGATAACGGCCTCCAGCCTTACGCAAGAAGCTGGGGCAGACATAGGAAGGAGGGGAACAAAAGAAATGAATCTCTACGGCCTCTCTCCTTCCCCTTAGGTAGATGTGTTCTGGCTTGGTCTGCAGGTAGTGAGCACACCACCACGCCAGCAGGCAGGCAGTGAATGGCGGTGGGTGTTTGCCAGCTCCCGTTCTGCAAGTGAGGGCCAGAGTCTTTAATCTGTTGTTTAGCCTAAGGTTTTTACTCCTGCTTATGTTCAGCTTTCTTGATCTCTCCATGCTTACTAGATCCTTTTTGGGTCCTGAGAGGTCCTGGCAGAAATTTGTACCTCCAAGGGAAACAAACGCCTCTCAAAAATATTTTAATTCTATGCTGCTGTGAAGTTTTGAATGTAGTGGGGGAGAGTGGATGGCACTTAGCACTAACGGGGATTAGGGTAAGAGTGTGCATTTGTTTTGTAGGGATGATCTGGGAGTTGACTGCATTTCTGCTGCTGGGCAGAATCTTTTAATCCTTATTTCTCCATGGCACCTGCTGGGGAAAGTGGAGCATTACAGCAAGTTTAGGGAAGATGGGCTATTGCAAACGTTTCCCATGTACTTGGTGTTTAGAGACCTCTGAGGGTGGTATGGGACTTCTCTTCCAGGGGCATAGGAGTGAAATTTGCCCATTAAATATACATTAGCCAAAAGTGTGATTTAAGCAGAAATGGTTTAGGTGGGGTCCTGGAGCATGGCTAGAAACGAGTACACAGATGTACAGTGGAGAGTGATTGATCCAGTTCGGAGCAACCTGTGTTCCTGGAGGAATTTTAAATCGGAGCTGAGGTTTATTGGTAATGTGCAGGAAACTCTCACTGTTGGAGGCTGTTTGGCTTTGTGATTTGAACACATGGGCAGGAGGCTGAGAGCTCTGGCTGCAGCCCTGCCACAGTTTGTGAACTGGGAAGACATCCTCTGCTGGTTTTTCCTACGGTGCTTTGATGTTTTATGGCTAAGAAGAACAAAGAATGCGAATCAGAATAAATATGCTCTTGAGTTCTCACATGGACTTTTCTAGCACCAAACTCTCAACTATTAAAAAGTATCGATAGTAGGATTTGTCAGTAAAATAGACTCAGGCCTGCACTCTGGGCAAGAGTTTGCTGACTTTCCCTTTTTCTGAAGTTGAAATATTTACTGTTGTCTCTGCAGCTGCCATAGCTAATCGTTGTGTCCTGTCTGCAGGAGTTCTGCCTCTTTGCTGTGGTCGGCCTCGTGTCTGACTTCTTTCTGCAGATGTTTTTCTTCACTACCGTGCTGTCCATTGACATTCGCCGTATGGAGGTAAGGAAGGGCCAAGAACACGGGGTTTTACCTTGGGTCTTCCTTCTCTGCTATTGTGGAAGGATTAAAGGAAGCACACCCTTTGATTTTCACTCTCAAAAGACCAAGTTGGAAAAGTTCCGGGGCAGTACTTGCTTGGTTACACGTACTCAGGGATTGGGGACAGGACACTTGAGGGGACAAGACACCCTCAGGTATATAAACGTGCAGATTTGGGGTAAATGGGCTGGAAGGAGACATGGTCACAAACAGATGACCGTGACTGGACGAAGAAGAGAGTGTGTGCCGGAGAGAAGCTGGGACAGATTGACTCGAGAGTGAAGGTGGGAACTCAGACATAGGCATGTATCAAAGATAGCTGTCTCTGCACACATTTCTCTTGAGGGACCTCATCACCACGATTCTCACACGTTTGTTTTTCTCTTGGCAGCTCGCTGATCTGAACAAACGGTTGCCAGCAGAAGCCTGCATGCCCCCAGCGAAGCCTGTCAGCCGCTCTCAGCGCTATGAACGCCAGCCAGCTATGCGACCTGCCACCCCACACACCATCACCCTGCAGCCATCGTCTTTCAGGAATCTGCGCCTGCCAAAGAGGCTGCGGGTGATCTACTTCTTTGCCAGGACGCGGCTGGCCCAGAGACTCATCATGGTATGCCATGTGGTGTTTGTTATCCGGTGCCCCTTCCTGCTGGACACTAACCCAACCCGCATAGGCTTCCAGGGCAGGGGGAAAAATGTCCAACATTTTCACGCATCCTTGTTACCCTGCAAGAATTATGCTGCCCTGTGGTAAATACGGTTCAAGAAATACTTCCCTAAGAACACCGCTCTGCATGCATTAGCTCCAGGGCTCTGCTGTTTGCATGATGTTTGGGTGGTAGTGGGTAATTGTCTGATATTTGCTTTGAGACAAAGGACTGTATGAGGTGGAGAGAGAATGTGTTTACAGAGCAGAAATCATGTTTTGTTCCTGGAGATAATGTGGACTAAAGACATGGAGATATTTTGCCACATGAAGGACTAAGGCTTTTCCTTTTGCAGGTGTAACTGCAGCGGTTACACCAGTTACTGCCCCTGCTTGTCTCCCCCATCTCTGTTCTGGGTGTCTATAATGGAAGCGCGGGAACGTGTGTGTTCCTCGGCTCTGCAAACCACAGCCCAGTCTGTTACTGTCAACTAACACTGATGGCAGTTTAAGTTAAATTAAAGTTCAGTTTGTGAACCGTGGCTGCTGCAGTAGGTCTTGCAGAGTTCATGAACCAGAACCCTGAATTAAGCCTCTCCGGCCCTGTTTGAGGGTGGCAGACGTGCTGGTCCCAGCCGCCAGCAAGGAGTCTCTTCCCTGCTGTGCGTTTGTGTGGGAGAAGTGGGGTTCCCGCCATCAGGTTGAGTCGGGTGTCTCACAGAAAAATAGTGTTCAGTTTTTGTGCGTGCTGGGCAACCTCTCCCAATCCTCTTAGAGGAGAAGTGTCTGCGGGGAGTAAGACCATAACTGAGTGCAGGGCGTACCTTTGGTTGGGATGTTGCTGATCAGCTCAGACAGCTGATGAGGTGTTGGAGGCAGAGCGTGAAGGCCGTGTACTAAACGAGCTTGTCTCTTTGCTCATCGTGTGTAGGCTGGGACGGTGATCTGGATTGGAATCCTGGTTTACACGGATCCTGCTGGTCTCCGCACCTACCTCACGTCACAGGTCACTGAACAAAGTCCTTTGGGTGAAGCAGGTCTGCCTCCTATGCCTGTTCCTGGAGGGGTCCTCCCTGCTGGGGACCCCAAGATTGATCTCTCAGTCTTCCCATCGGACCCTATACAGCTGTCAGAAAACCAGACGCAGCAGCGTGAGCAGAAGTCAGGGCTGGAGTCCCTGAGCAGGCTGGAGACAAACCAGCACACCTGGGCCCACGGACCAGAGGGCAAAGGGAATGGACAGACAGAGCTTGGAGCTGAAGCAGAGGTTACCTGGGGAGCAGAGGATGAGGAGATTTGGAGGAAGCTTTCCTTCAGACACTGGCCATCCCTCTTCAGCTACTACAATATCACTCTGGCCAAAAGGCAAGTGGGCTGGCATCGAGTGCCACAGGCACTTTGGATTGTGGAATTGACCCCAAGCGTTTTTCTTCTGTTCTTCGTCCTTCTGAGTTAGCTAATTTGTGTTCCATGTGGCTTACTCCAAATGTGTCTTCAGGAGGAGACTATTAAACAGGCCCTCCTGCATGGTGTGGAGGTGCCAAACTCTCCAGACTGTTTGTCTGAGAATAAGGGTTATGTTTCTCTCTGTGCTCTTGGGTGCATTACGTGCTTGTTGTCCTCCTGCATGGTGTGGAGGTGCCAAACGCTCCAGGACTGTTTGAGAATAAGGGTTATGTTTCTCTCTGTGCTCTTGGGTGCATTACGTGCTTGTTGTCCTCCTTTACCCTGGTGACGTTTAGAATTTTGTAAACCAATATATGATCATCTGTAAGTGATGGGGATGGTACATGTGAGGAATAGAGACATCTGAGCTGAAGAATGTGAGATCTTCTTGGTGAGATCTTCTGGCCTGCAGTGTACAGGAAGCTGGACCAGATCATTATATCCTTACTTAAATCTGTGTGATCCATTTGATCTCATCAGTAGTTCATTCCACTGCTGGCTCTTAATCTCTTCCACAGAGTTAAGGGTTAAGACCTGGGAAATATATTTAGAGAAAAATATTTCAAAGGAGGTCTTTAGTTTAGAATACCTGAAACTGCTGGACTGAAAGTACATACTGAGACCTACCTTGGCTGCTAGGGAGAAGATGAGCTGGGTTACCCATTAGGATTTTTGTGTCTTTTTGTCTTTGTTATTCCTAAGCTATTCTCATCTTTCCTTTCCTTCAGATACATCAGCATCCTTCCAGCAATCCCTGTCACGCTGTACCTGAACCCACAAGAGGCCTTAGAAGTGCGGCATCCCCAGGAGGCTAACCGCTACCACCCCTTCTTATCCTCAAGCAGTGGGAAGCTGGATGCTGAAGCTCAGCCTGACCAAGCCTCATCCAAGCTGCAGGGGCACCAGGATGTCACTCTTTACAAGTAAAAGAGTCCTTGATATGGCCTTCTGACCATGCCTTAGCTGCCTTGGAGACAAGGGTTGCTCTTTGCCTGTTTGGCTCTTCTCCTGGAGGAAAAACAAAAAATATTTGTAAAGCTTCAGTGCAAAATCCTGTAATGCTCAGGACAGTCTAGCTCAGCTAGCGCAGCATTAAATTAATCTCTCCTGGCACTGTTTTTCTGAGCTCCCTGGCAGGAGATGGTGTGTGCAGCCCAGGCTGTTAGCGCACGTTGCTGTGGTGGGAGCTGCTTGTCAATATATATCGATGACTATGGATGAATGGCCTACAAACTTGATACATATGCAAGTGTTCACTATAATCTAGTAATTTGTGCAATTAGTCATGCATTTTGAAGGTTAAGCTTAGACGTATTTTAATTGGATGGCTTGGTGATGCTAAGACTGTTACTCCTAGCACCACACATGATGCATTATGGGGTTTATCGCTGGGTAACAGGGATAGGAGTTCGTCTTTGGGAATAAACGTCATGATTCAATAATGCTTTATAGGGTGTTAGGTCAAACTCTCATGCAAGCAGGGACCTTCCTTTCCTACTAAGAAGACAGGCTCCCAACTTGCCCTCTGAACCTGCAGTTCTCCTCTGTTGAAGGAGACATATGGCTATGTTGAACACACCATATTATCCCAACCCCCATCTAACGTTTTTCTTAAAGTCTTAGTTGCTATGTACTTTTCTTATTGAAAAGTCTGAAAATCTTCTTGAAATTGACATTTTCGCATGAAAAAAACCCTGTAATTTTCCACAAATCACTATAACTTGTTGGAAATTTTTTCCAGCTGAAAAATTTAGGCCAGCAATATGTGTAATACTTTCACAGTATTTTTCAAACTCTATCCGTGGACTAGTAATTGGATTTTTTTATCTCACCTTCTTTTTGTCTTTGTGTCTGTTTGTCTCTCCCACCAGAGTGGCTGCTCTGGGTCTGGCCTCGGGCATTATCCTGGTCCTCCTGCTCTTCTGCCTGTACAGGGTGTTCTGCCCCAAGAACTATGGGCAGAACGGGCTCTCTCACAGCAGGAGGAAGAGAGGGGACCTGCCCTGTGATGATTATGGCTACTCCCCACCTGAGACTGAGATTGTCCCCTTGGTTCTCAGGGGTCACCTCATGGTAGGTCTGAGGGATGCAGTCCTTACAAGAAGGGCATTTTACTGACTTGTGCCACACATCATCTTTCTTTGTTTTATTTAAATAAACAACGATTATGTCACAAAGGACAGACCAGTTATGTGTCCTTAGTGTAATGCAGCTGTGGAGGCTAACAGCCGGGGCAAATGATATGTATAGAGAGAGAGAGTAGGATGTTGTAGCATTTCTTCCTGGGACTCGCTCTGAGCTTCTTGCAATTGCTGTTACCACCTTCTCTGTGTAGCCAACTGTTGGCTTTTATTGGCTGGGCTGGTCCAGCCTTCTTTGCTGGGGTAGCTCTAGCTTCCTGATACTTAATGCCTACTGGGTCCTTTTTTCCCTGCTTCCCCAAAGTTAGTGCATAGGTTTGGGCTGTTAAATGTTGTTTCCAGTGCTAAAAGCATCCATGGGTTTGCACGGAAGTGTGCTGCTGCTCAATTCACTCATTTTTCTTGAGGGGAAAGACATTTCTTGCCATTCTGAGATGAAACAAAGCGCTCAGACACGCAGTCACATGGAGTTTGAAACACTGTGCCATGTCTTCCAGAGAAGCTGCACCTCTGTTCCTGATCCTACCATCTCTTTGGGCTGTACTTTGTCAGGGAAAATTTGATTTGCAGCAGTCTAGTGCACAGCTAGGACTCTGGGCAAAGATGTACTCGTGTTCTCTGAGTATCCCTAGATTGCTAAGCCAGCCATGTAGTTTTGACATAAAATTTATCATCTATATAGTTCCTCAGCCACACGCAAGGTGATTGTCAGAGTCCAGAGGCCTCGGTGGTGCTACGCACTCAGCTGTGCTTGTTCTTCCTTCCCAGGACATCGAATGTCTGGCTAGTGATGGGATGCTGCTCGTCAGCTGCTGCCTGGTGGGCCAGATCCGTGTGTGGGATGCTCAGACTGGCGACTGCCTCACCGTTATTCCCAAACCGAGGTAAGTGTTGTCTGTACCAAGTTATTCAGCTGCGGGCGGGTCCCTCCCCAGTCGCTGCTCAGCAGCTGGTGCAAACCCCTCTGTAAGAAATCAGCCCTCTCCGACAGTAGGGGTGGGAGGACTGAGCTTCTATTACTGTGTTTTAGGTTGCGAAGAGACAGCAGTGGCATCTTTGATTACCAGGAAGGCTGGGATCATAGTCCGGATGGCAAGAATGGTCTGGACGACTCTTTTGAGAACAGTCACCAGCTCAAAAGGATGCTCAGCCCTCCCCAGCCTCCGCTTTTCTGCGACCAGCCAGACCTCACGTCTCTCATTGACACAAACTTCTCTGAGCAGGTGAAGGTGGCCGAGTCGGAGACGCGGCTCCGTGCTGTGGGCAGTCGCCAGAAGGAGACCGGGTACGACTTCAGCAGCCTGGTTGGTAAAGTGTATGAAGAGCACAGCACCTCCAACTGCATGAACTTCGCTGGCCTCTCGGCCCCGCACGGACAGGCTGGCTTCTGCGCGGGGAGCGGCAGTCCCCGCTCCCTGGGCTGCGGGACCGAGGAGGCAGGCTGCAGCAGCCGGCGAAGGAGCCTGGGGGACGAATCTTTTACGGGATTTGACAAATCGTCACCGCTTCCTTCCTGGGGAGGAGACTGGGAGAGCTCTGTCTGGAGCCTGGACCTGCAAGGGAACCTGATTGTGGCTGGCCGGAGTAACGGGAAGCTGGAGGTGAGGAGCGAGGCTCACTGCCAGCCCAGGCACTGGGTGAGCTGCCAGCAGCTCTTTAAGACTGAAGTAGCTGCCATGTCATTAAGTAATGTTACTGCTCAGTCATGAAATAAGGTAAAATTAATAGGAATTCTATAGGAATGATACAGGTTTTGAAGCAAATTTTATTTGGAAATTTAAATCTTCTCTAATGAGAAACTTTCATTTCGATTAGTTTAATTTCATTTTTGGAAATTAAGTTAAAATTTTTCCTTCAAAATAAATGGAGGTTTTTTTTTTTAAACAAACACATTTTGAAACAAATTTTTTAATGATTTTTAACCTGTGCTCCATGTGGGCGGCTCTCACTCTTCCCAACAAAGACACAGGCTGGCCACTCCATTGTTTTTCTTTGTCCTTTAAATATGCTTTCGAGCTCAGGTACCTCCTCTCAAGCAGCTGCCTTGAGTCACTGACTGAATTTTGCTGCTGAATCTTTTTTCCAGTCCACATCACAGTATTGCTTCAAAATCCAGAGCACTTCATGCTCGGAACAGGGCAGATGTGGGGCTGACCGGGAGCGAAGAGGGGTGCTGCAGAGCTGGGGATGGGGAGCAGCAAGAGCCCATGCTGCTGCAGGGTGCCTGTGTGGTGCACCGGGGCTAGCGTTTGTTGTGACCCCAGTAAGAAAGGCATGCAGATTGTGAAGTATTGATTAAAATACCATTTATTGGCAGTAATGCTAAAAGGAAGAAGAGGATAGTGTGATCTTATGTCCCTCCCATTGTGGTGAGCCCCATGCTGTGCAGTGTTGGGCAGACCTCCAGTCTGAGCACGGCACACCGTGCAGATTGTGTCCCTAGAGAGGTCAGCCGGCACTGTGGTCCTTAGAGCTCTTAGGGGATTTTCTTCAAAGAAAAGAATTCTATTCATCATTTCTGCTGTCAAACAGAAGGATGTTCACTGGAGAACTTGCTGCTTCACTTTAAGATAGATAGAAGGATACTGATGATTTTGATCACTGGTGCCAAGTGGGAGCTGCCTACAGGCTTCTTCATTAAGATCAGACAGCTGAGGGGGCCAGGGGATATATGCAGCACAGCACAGGTTAGCCGTTACGTGGATCACCAACTCCTCGATCTAGGACAGTCAGGATCACAGCAGTAACCCTTTCTCCTTCCAGGTTTGGGATGCTATCGAGGGGACCCTCCGTAGCAGTAATGACGAAGGTCAATCTGGCATCACAGCGCTTGTCTTCCTGAACAACAGGTAATTGCGTTTGTACTCGGTGATCTCTTGCAAGGGGAGGAGAACACGTGGTGTAAGTCAGGACCCCAGCCCTCTCCCTCCTGCCATGGAGGTTGAACAACTCCAGATGGCAGAGGCTCAGCTGGGAAGTCTCTTCCTTCCCACGCATCCACCTCTCAAGCTGGGCATGGTGGAGCGAGCTTTCCTGGGTCCAGCTCTGCTCCAGCAGCCACTTCTTCTCCATACAGATATTTAGTCTTTCTAGTAGCTGAATATCCAGAATAATTCAGGGCTGGGAGATGGGGCCTTTGGGTCACTGTTTTCTGTGTGCTGTTATTCAAGAAGCATTGCCATCTGCCAGTTTGTTCTGCGGTCTGAGCTTAATATAATTTCTGAGCCCTCTTCCTTGCGATCAGGAGTGCCTCCTCACAGGGGGAGCCTGCGTGGTTTGTTCTCTGCCTCAGAAGGTGTCTGGTCTCAGGGGTCTGGTCTCACCCTGTGAGAGCGGGGAAGGGCCTCTCCTCATGTGCCTGCGTTTCTCCCTCAGGATCGTCGCTGCCCGGTTGAATGGCTCTTTAGATTTCTTTTCACTAGAGACGCACACGTCCTTGAACCACCTGCAGTTCCGAGGTAAGCAAGCGTCTGAGCGTGCTGTGCACTGCTCTCAGCTCTGCTGAGCCTCTTCCTCTTCCCTTGCCTTCTTGCAGCTGACTCTTCCTCAGACCCACTTCATAAGCTGTCGTAGTAACACTCCGCTCCAAAAACCCCTGTGTTGCAGGTGCCAAACCAGCTGCTGTGGAGAGGTGAGGAATACTTTGGGAGTTCCCTGTGCAGGGAGAGCATCTCGAGTGCTGGTTTTCTCCAGTGCATAGGTCTGGAGGCTGAGGCACGTGTTCCAGGATCAGCTCTGCCCTGTACTTCTTTCCTCTCCCACTTCTCACTTATTTTCTCCTTCAGCAAGGTCTTTTCTCACTTGTTGCACGTCACGTAGCCCCACACAACCACGATGTAGCCTGGGGCCTCGGCACAACCACGACACACACAAAACTAGTCCGTGGTGGTAACTGGTTTGCAGTGCAGTAGCTCCTTTGGTTCTGGGGTGGCCTGGAGGGGAGAGATGCCCTGGCCTTACTCCAGGAGAATGGTTGCATTCCTGGGCAGATGCCCTGGGATCTGCAAGCTGTAGATCTGGAAGTGGAGCAGGCTCTGCAGGAAAGGACTGGCTGTGGAAATGACTTTTCCCCATAGAACGCAGACAGTCTTATGCCCAGCTGTCCCTTCTGCCTCTGACAAGAGTAACAGTGCTCTTGGGCTTCAGGGATCTCAGTCTTGCAGAAAATTTACTGTGTGGGGGCCACTGAGCTGCAGAAGGGAGTTCTGCTGCTGAGGACCCTGTTGGAGACCCTTGCTCCAGTTGTTCATGAGTGCTGAGCAGCTGTAGCTTCTGCTGGTGTCAGCCAGAGTGCTGAGTGTTCGGCTCTTTGGAGGACCAGGTTCAAATTCCTTGAAGCTCAGCATCTAGGCATCCCTGATGCCACACCATTTCTGGGTGATATTAGTCTTGGAGCATAAGGCCGTGTGTCTGCTGCACTGAGGACTTACCTGCGTGTCTCTCCACAGGAGCCCCGAGCAGAAGCAGCATCCCCTCCTCCCCCGTGTTCAGCAGCAGCGACATCATCGTGTGTCAGCTCACCCACACCGTGTCCTGCGCCCACCAGAAGCCGATCACGGCGCTGAAGGCTGCGGCTGGACGGCTGGTCACTGGGAGCCAGGACCACACTCTGAGAGTAAGGCTTCCTCGGCTGCTGCCCTGTAACTGGTGGGGTGGGGTGGGTGCTTACCCGTCCTGTGGACGCCGTGGGACGTGAGCTTGTCTCGTACGTGGACGGGGGGCAAAGCTGACGTGTGTACATGCTCAAAGGTAGGCGAGTGTTTGGGAGTGGTTGGAGTCCAATCCAGTGCATTCCTAAAGCTCCCCGTGTTATATTTGTCTGCCTGGATGTGGCCCCTCAGTGGAGTTAGGAGGACGGAGCCCCGTGTGAGCTGTCTTCCTAAGCAGAGCATGAGATCCTCTTGCCTTAGGGCTGGGTGACTTCATGAATAGCAGGGTCTGGGTTCTGGGGTATCCCCTGTCTTCTCCTCGTCCCTTCCAGCAGCAGCTGTCTCCTTCAGCCATGCACATCGCTTCCCTGCCCTGTCACTGCCCAACAGGCATTACCCTCTTCCCCTGCCCTTGGCAGCAGCATCCAGTGACCAAAAGCTCTGACTCTGCCATGAGAGGGGGTGGCAGTAAGGAAGATAAAGTGAGATCAGTTGCTTATTAGCAAGAGCAATAAGGCTCTGGTAGTATCGTTCTGCAGCACGGCTGCCCTGCGCATGCTCACATCTGCCTCTTCTGCCCTGCAGGTGTTTCGGCTGGAAGACTCGTGCTGTTTGTTCACACTGCAGGGTCACTCAGGAGCAATCACAGCTGTGTACATTGATCAGGTACGGTACAGCTGGGTCTGCACTGGGAAGAACATCCTTTAATACGGCTGCTGAGCCACTGGTTCAGCCAGAGGGACCCAGCTGGGACCCTGTTCTCGTTTGCTTCATAGAGAAGTTGATGTGTGCTTCTCTGAGGACACAGAGGGTTCGCTGGCCGCTGTATCGGTGTGCTCACCATCTGCCTTACAAGCTGAACCATTATTTTCCCATCCAGCTAACCATGAGCTCAGCAATCCCTTTCCTGCTGCCTGCCCTCCTGGGGACCGGCTGTCTCCTGAGCGAGGCAGCATAGGCTTAGCTAAGCTGATGCACAGCCTGCACTGCCAGGGCTGGAAAGGTGAGCAAGGCTAACGACAGGGCCTAGCAGAGCGTGCCCTGCTCTGCAGTGAGCCCCCAGGGAGGCTTTGCGTACCAGCTCCCTTGGAAAGAAGAGCCACAGCTGTGTGCTTTACAGCTCTGTTTAAATGAATTTAGGTTTCTCTGCACCTGGGAGTCCTGGTGGGCTTGGGTTTTTGTTACCTCCAGCCTGCTCAAACACATGTACAAAGGCAGGGAAGACGCCGAGCTGGCAGTTCAGCTTTCCATCCCACATTCCTGTGACCTCCTACAGCCTGGGAGCGTGCCTGGAGCACTGGAAGTGCTTGTATATGACCGGAGTGTTCAGCGGCTCCCCGTGTCTGTGGCACTGCGAAGCCCCGGGGTGTGGTGGAAAGGGCACTGTCTGCCGTCTGCTGAGGTTCCCGACCTGTGTCCTTGCAGACGATGGTGCTAGCGAGCGGAGGCCAGGACGGTGCCATCTGCCTTTGGGATGTGCTGACGGGGAGCAAGGTCAGCCACATGTACGCCCACCGAGGGGACGTCACGTCCCTCACCTGCACAACGTCCTGCGTCATCAGCAGCGGCTTGGATGACGTGATCAGCATCTGGGACCGCAGCTCGGGGATCAAGCTCTATTCTATCCAGCAGGTTGGTAGCTGGGGTGCAGCCAGGGAAAGCTTAAGGGTGCTTCTGTGCTTTTCTGGACCCCACCAAACCCCGCAGACCAGCTCTGCTGGGCTTGTGGTGTGAAGGGATCTCTTAATTAAACTCCAGGCGGTTTGGAAAAACTTCCCTGCTTGTAAATATAATCTGCAAGAGCTCAGAAAAGACGGAATCCGTTGCTTGGCCAGACTGCACTGTCCTGGCTGCGAGGCTCTGTGGCCCCATTCCAGCACGTGTGCACCCGCGGGGCCGGGCTGGCAGAGGGACTGCGGCTAAACGGCCTCTTCCCAGCCACGGCAAGGGCTGGCTGCAGAAGCGGCGTGGGCAGGCTGCTGCCCTCCCTCGCGGAGGAGTTCCTGCCAGGACGCCTGTTGTGGGCTCGGCTCTCTGACGTGCTCTCATTCCACGCAGGAGATGGGCTGCGGCGCCAGCCTGGGCGTGATCTCCGACAACCTGCTGGTGACAGGAGGCCAGGGCTGCGTCTCCTTCTGGGACATCGGCTACGGCGACCTGCTCCAGACCGTC